TCATGAGATAGATTTCCATTCACTCTAGCGCTGCATGTTTTTGTATATGATTGTCCACCACGAGGCGTTTTGGAGGCTTGCCTTTCATGCCAGCTGCTTTTATATTTCGCTCTAAAACTGTGTCCAGCGCTCGTTATACTCCTTTTTCTATTTAGAGGATGGAACCTACCGCATTCTTCGATGCATCTACTTCCAAGATATAGGGCAGGGCGGCGTCTGGGTGACCCAAAATGGGTGCCGAGGTGAACAGCTTCTTCAAGGCTTCAAAAGCTTCCTGCGCCTCTGGTGTCCATCTGAACCGGGTTCCCAGCTTGGTTAGCTGGGTAATGGGGGAGACCAAACCCGAGAAGTTCTTGATGAACTTCCGGTAAAAATTTGCAAAGCCGATGAATCATTGGACGCCTTTCTTTCCTGTCTGTGGGTTTCAGGCCAATCCAGTATTGCAGCGACTTTCTGGGGATCCATCGCGACCCCCGCGGTGGAGATAATCAGGCCCAAGAAGGCAATGCTGGATTGTTCAAAAACAACATTTCTCTGCCTTGGTGTACAACCCGTGCTGCCGCAATCGCCCCAATACCTTTGCTACATGTATTCTGTGTTCCCCCAAAGACGGGGGGAGAAAATCAGAATGTCGTCTAAATGAACGATAACAAAGACATCCAGAAAGTCCCTAAAAAATATAATTCACAAAGTGTTGAAACGTGGCCGGAGCATTACACAGCCCGAACAGCATGACCAGATATTCAAAATGGCCGAAGCGGGTGCGAAAGGCCGTCTTCCACTCGTCCCCCTCCCTTATGCGAATCAAGTTGTACGCCCCCCTCAGATCCAGCTTGGTAAAAACCACTGCTGTTTTTAAACTTTGGAACAACTCTGGTACTAACGGCAGTGGGTAACGGTTCTTTATCGTGACCCTGTTTCAATTCCCTGTAATCGATACACGGCCTTAAGGTTTTGTCTTTCTTTTCAACAAAGAAAATTCCCGCCCCCCGCCGGTGAAGTGGAGGGGCGGATGAACCCCTTCTGGAGGCTGTCCTCGATATATTCCTTTAGGGCCCCCAATTCGAGCTCTGAAAGGGGGAAGATTCGCCCAAAAGGAATTTCTGAGCCGGGTAACAGGTCAACGGGACAGTCATAAGGGCGGTGGGGGGGTAGAGTATTGGCTCCCCGTTTGCTGAACACATCTAGAAACCCATGGTAGACTGCAGGGATTACTTGTTTTAATTCAGCTTCCCCCTCAGAGCACAGGAGGATTTGGGGGACCCCTGGGCCCGAAGTGCGGCAGTATACCCGACAGTATGGGGAAGGGAACGAGATTACTCCCGGTCTCCCAGTCAATCTGGGGGTTATGGGCCCGTAACCATGGGAGCCCCAGAATGACTGGGAAGAGGGGTGAAGCTATAGCATCCAGGCGGAGGGAGTTCCTGGTGCTGGCCGGCAATGACAGTGGTGATGGAGGGGGTTTCCTGGTTCACTACCCCCGATTTTATTCGGGAACCGTCAGCCAAATAAATATTGAACCCCTTCTGTTTAAATTGGAGAGGAATACCCTGCTGGTGAGCAAAATTAATGTCCAAGAAGCAGCTGCATGCCCCCGAATCAATTATGGCCGATACTTCCCACGGTCCTTTCTGGAAGCTGAAAGGAAAGGGGTACCACTAAGTATTGGGATGGACCAACATTGCCAATGGATAAGGAAGAAGAGGTGCACTTACTCAGTTTCTGCGGGCAGGATCGTACCATATGACCAGCTTCACCACAGTAGAGGCACAGGTTCTGGGATCGTCTGCGCTGATGTTCCTCTGGGGATAGTTTAGGCCGTGCCAGGCCGAGTTGCATGGGTTCAGGGATATCTCCAGGTGGCCGGTTCTGGATGTTTGGCCTAGGTGCTTGACTGGGACCTTGAAATGACCCCCAGGGATTTCCATGACCCTGGCCGGACCTCTCAAACCTGCGTTCCCGCAGTCACGGTCTACGGTCAATTTTAATGGTCAGTGCTATTAAGTCCTCTAAAGTCTCAGGTACCTCCACCCGGGCGAGCTCATCTTTCAGGCCTTCTGATAGGCCTATACGGAACTGATGCAGGAGTGCGAACTCGTTCCAGCGTGTGTCCCCCCCCATCCAGCGCCTAAACTCAGACGCGTACTCCTCCGCCGCTCGGCGGCCTTGCCGGAGCGTGTACAAAGTAGCTTCAGCAGAAGCTGCCCGCTGTGGGTCATCATAAAGGATGGCCATTGCATCAAAAAAATTGTCAACCGAACTAAGGTGAGGGTCATTTTTTCCCCGTAATCGGTGGGCCCAGTCTTGGGGTTCACCCTGCAGGAGGGAGATGACGAACCCTACCTTCATGGATTCAGTCACAAAGGTCCGGGGTTGTAACTCAAAATAGAGAAGACAGGACTCGCGCGGAATGATCTGAAGCGTGTGCGGTCCCCGTGGAAACGTTCCGGTAAGGGTACTCGGGGTTCGGCCGCCGGGAGTGGTGCGGATGCCCCAGACACCAGCACAGGGGCTGCTACGGCTGGGGGTGCGGGGACCACGGCCTGTGGGGCAGGAACGGATATAGTGCAGGTCTGGAATTGGGTTTCAATCTGCTGACATCTATCCTGCAGGGCCGATACGGCCTGTGTCAAGTTAGACAGGTGCCTGCAGATCTCCTCAAGCGGCGAGGGCCCTCCTCTAGACTCAGTCATGGCCTTCTGGTACTGTAAGGGACCGCCTGGCGGTACCACTAGCACTCCACTGAATGGGCGTCCCCAGCGCACGGAATCTAAGTCCCAGGGTGCTTGTTCACCAGGGCCCCTGATGGTGGGGATGGACTTGGAGCCCCCCGAGACCAGGTCGTGGCTACTGGGTGCGTCCGTCAGTGGTAGTGGTATGCGCCAAGGGCTCCCACGGGGAAGAGTCTGATGTGAGGAGGTCAGAAGACCCCACTGCAAGGGATGGATGGATGAGCATGAGCAAGGTCAGAGGCAGCGGGGGCCGGGTCAATCAGGGGTAACAGAGAGGACGGCAAGGTACAAGGCAGCGGGCATAGAATGGTCGGGTCACACGCCAGGTCAGCAACAGCAGGTCAAATCCAATCACTGGGGCATTCAAGAGAGAGGTCAGGCAAAGCAAGGGTCAGAATAGGAGAGAAAACAGCAAGGTCAGGTACAATCCGGGTCAAAACTTACAAAGGTACAGGTTCACAGGATGCAGGGAAGACCAGAAGGCACTGAATGACAGCTCAGGGCAAGGATAGTTTTAAATATCCCGCCCTGCGCTGCCATTGGTGCCCAGCGGGAAGGGCCGCGGCTTTCTACTGCGCATGCGCGAACTCGAACGCCGCGGCCGGCCCGGACCTAGTGCCCGTGTCCCTGCACAGGGCGGTGCACTGCGCCTGCGCCGGGACCATCGCGGCAGGGATCGAGGAGATCCCTGACAGGTCACCTTGTTGTAAGCTAGTAAGTGAACCTGTTTATTGCATTAGAGTTTATATACAGCTTCTGTTATTTTAATCAACCCTTTCCCTTCTGGTCTGGGATCCTATAGCTTTAGGCCAGGGCTCAAAAACCAGCACATGCTACAGCGAGGGTAGGAACCCAATGATCATTTGGTAGTTAGCACATCTTGTTGCATTATAGATTAGAAGTTACTAGAGACTAAAACGTAGAGTAGATAGGCTGTCACTGAGTTCCAGTGCAGCTCCACGGTTTCTGCTGGCGAAAAGCTGCATTCCAGTCTGGTTAGACAATGGCTGGATAGTCTACCCATGATCGCAGATCTTGTTTTCAGCATTCATCTGGAGGTATCTCTATGACTTTGATTAGATATCGGGTTAATAAGAAAGGGAAGCTCCTCTGCTTACAGAGGCCTTGTCCTGGGTGGAGGCACTGCCAACTTATCATCAAACCCACTCTTCCACTTAGCAAAGGTTCTGGTATTTTTATTTGCCTACAGATTTAGTACAATAGCATGTTGGGGAAGGTCATTTCTAACCCCTTAAAAGAGGGCTACATAGGCAACGTACAAAAGATAGTAGCGACCATTAAGAAAGTATCCTGAATTATTCTAATTAGATGAAATTTATGTGTGATAAAAATCTAAATGACATTCCTTAAAGTAATCTAAATTCAATCACTAAAAATTCATGTTAATGTAATTTCTTAACTTGTTTTTAATTTTTTTTAAATCTGCACTTTTCATTAAAATAATACCTGTTGATCCTACCATGAAAGAGTCATGAGAGGACCATGGAGGCTATCACTGATGAACACTCCTTTGGAAATGCTCATTCCCTAGTTCTAATGTTGATGCATTGGCTTCAGTGCTGTCTGGGTAGATGACCTGGAACAAGTACAGAATTTAGAAGGACTGACACTTATTTAAATTATGATAGTTCTGGGATTCAAAAGTACTTAAAGTGGAACTTCACTCTCACAGTCAACATTGGCTATTTCTAATCCTTATGGTGCTAGCATTAGTAAATAGTTAGAAAATGATATTAGATTTACTTGTTTTAAGCTTTTATTTTACATTTCAGTTACATCCTGGTTTCCAAGCCTAGGCAAATTATGTCATACATCCCAGGAGTCTTCAGGAGAAGAGGAGGGGTTTTCTCAGCAAAGCACACCATCCTGCCTGCATGCCTGAGCGAAGGGCAGGAGGATTCCAGGAAGTAAATGCTACATGAATCACCTGCCCTTACTTAACCACTTCCTGTCCGGACACTTTTACCCCCTTCCTGTCCAGGGCAATTTTCAGCTTTCAGCGCTATCACACTTTGAATGACAATTGCGCGGTCATGCAACACTGTACCCATATGAATTTTTTTTAAGACAGATAAAACTTTATTTTGGTGGTATTTATTCACCGCTGGGATTTTTTTTTTTTTTTTGCTATGTAAATGAAAAAGTCCAAAAATTTTGAAAAAAAAGTGTTTTTCTTATAAAATTTTGCAAATACCGTATTTTTCGCTCCATAAGACGCACTTTTTTCCCCAAAAAAAATGGGGGAAAATGTCAGTGCGTCTTATGGAGCGAATATGGAGCGGCCGGTCCGGTATTTCCACCGCGGCTGTGTCAGAATACCGGGCCGGCCGCTCAGCTCTGCAGCAGGATCTCATGGAGATGACTGCTGACCTTTGGGGAGGGGGGGGAGCGGCTACCTGAATTTGACAGGTACCCGCTCTTACTTCTTTGTTCTTTGACCTTACCTGTTCCTCTATCCAGCGGCGCGCTGTCTTCCGGCTTCTGTAGTGTGGGCACTGGGCATGACAGCCGGGTGCCAAGTGCGCATGCGCAAGAAGCGGTGCTTTTTGTGAATGGTAAGGCGGTACCTGGGACACATGACAGATCCCAGAAGCCGCCGGACCAATCACAAAGCGCAAGTGCTTCTCGCTCATGCGCACTAGGCACCCGGCTGTCATGCCGAGCGCCATTACAGAAGCCGGGAAGACAGCGCGCGGCTGGATCGAGGAACAGGTAAGATCAAACAAAAACTCTGCAGAAGTAAGAGCGGGTACCTGTCAAATTCAGGTACCCGCTCCCCACCTCCCCAAAGGTCAGCAGTCATCTGTACTGTCAGTCTCTGGTCATCCCTGTGCTGTCCACAGTGGCCATCCCTGTGCTGTCCGCAGTCCTGGCCTCCCTGTGCTGTCCGCAGTCTCTGGTCATCTCCTGTACTGTGTCTGCAGTCCATTAGTTCAGAATTTTTTTTTCCTGTTTTCTGCCTCTAAAACCTAGGTGCGTCTTATGGTCAGGTGCGTCTTATGGAGCGAAAAATACGGTAAATAATATTTCATCATAAATCCTGGCCAAAATTTATTCCGTTATCTGTTTAGTAAAAAAAAAATAAGCCAAATTAATTTATAACCAAAAATTATATTTTGTAAACATTTTTTTTCACATTTTTATTTTACTTTTTTTTATATTATTTTTTTTTTTTTTTACATACTGTCACCCTAGCAGTACAGTGTCACCATGGTGACACTGTATTACTTGTGGGGGGTGATGAAGATTTTTTTTTTTTTTTTACATTGATTGCTTTTACACCCATATAAGATGTAAAAGCAATCATTTCTCTTTCTCTCTCTGCATTCTTGCAGCCATTGAGAACTACTGAGTGAGCTGTGATTGGTCAAAGTTTGTCACATGGTACAAGGCTGTTGTGAATAGCCTTGTACCATGTGACCTCTGTGATCATTCACAGATTTCATATGTAGTAAACAATGATGTCACAAGTGACTTCTTGCTTACTACTTTGCATGTGATCACTGATTGGCCAATCAGTGATCACATGATCGGGACCTCGTACAGAGGTCCTGTCCGATGATCGGTGTTTCACTGTGTCCGGAGGAGACAGCGGGCACCGGATTGCAGTGCTGCACACTCCCAGGGAGCGCGCACAAGCAGGGTGCGGGGAGGCCGTTTATAAACGGCCACCCGACCCTGCACTGCCACCGTCCGGCCGTTTATATATAACGGCCGAACGGGAGGTGGTTAAGATGGCAAGCACCAGAAATGCTAGAGGATGTTTTTCCAAGTGATTTCTCAGGAAAATAAAGTATAGAGATATGGATGTCTGGGTGAGTTTGCTTTGAATATTAAAAATGTGTGGTGATCAGATGCAGTGTAATTCCACTGCAAAATGGTGGGATAAGATTTTTTACGAACAGTTTACTGGGGACTGTTTATTTATCTGCTCAATGTATTAACCTAAAAAATGCTGAGGGTTTAATACTACTTTTAGGCCTGTTTCATACCTTTGCCTTTTTGGTGCTTTTTGCATTTGAGTTCCTTGTTCAGGCAATTCCTGTTATGGAATTGTTACCATGTCACAGTCTCTTCTAGTGGTGATCACAAGTAGCTATGCCAACACACTTTGGGGGGAGTTAACAAAGAGTGTTCAAAGCCCAATGTGTGCACCCTTAGGGTTCATGTACACGGGGCTCTTCTGAACGATGGAAACTGGCTGCTGGAAAATGTAGGTTAAAAAACGTCAGTCTAGCCGCGTTTGCATACCGCGTTTATGTGCGTTTGCGTTTAGAAGCGTTTTTAAAAGATAACCTCAGGAGACCTTCCAAATGCTCAGAATGCACTGAAAAATAGTAAAACATTAACTATTTCAGACATTTTGAGAGGAATAGAGAGAGCAGAAGCAAAGAGATCAGTATGTGTTGAAATTACCTGTCTTTTCTGGTTGTATTCACTATGTATCCCATCATGAGCATAATGCAGCACGTTCTACTATTTTTTCCTTTACGCGAAACATGGAACTGACTGCGCTGGTGTACTAGGTCCATTTGAAGGCATGGAAAACACTCTGCATTCTGATGATGAAAAAAGGCCCTGGACATAGAACAGTTAAAAACTGCTTCTAAATGCAAACGCTTAAAAATGCGGTTAAAGGTTTACAAGCATTTGGCATTTGAAACGCCGGTAAAATCTACTCCTGAACGCAAGTTTGGTGCATTCAAAAAAACGACTGTAAACTCAACTGTCTGTAAATGACTATGTGTACATGGAAACGTAGGAAAACATTAGCGAGAGTTCAGGGTCTGCTGAAAAAAAACCGCTGAACAGCTCCTGAACGTCAGTTTAGGAGCTGCAGTGTACATGAACCCTTATTGTAAACTTAAAAAATGGTGCAGCAACTAGGTACCAAAAGGGCAAGTTATGGCTTTGACAGGTAGCACAGAAACCAGGAGAGCTGGAGCCTCATGCTTCGATTTTTCTGTTCATCCCAGCCTCCCACTGAGCTGAGATCAAAAGGTAGCAGGTTGTAAACCCTGCAGGTGCTGCTTGTGTAGTGTATTCACTGCACGGGCAGAGAGAGGGATGTGAAGCTGTTTGACAGTTCGCATCCCATACCTGGCAGGAATCTGCATCAGCTTTATATGAAAAGCTTATGGAAAACTGACGCATTACCCCTGTTAATTAGCAGTAGACCCTGTGGTACTTTCTAATTTACTCGGAAGTAGAAACTGACACAAGAGGCCCAAGTAGACCTGAAACTGGTCTATGTGCTTAGTTAATGTGGTGCACACCAACCCAGACAGTTTCCTGTGCTATTATAATGGCACAAGAAGTTTAGTTGATTCCCTGGATTGTGCATATATGACCCACTGTTGACCCAATCAGGAAGCCATTGTAGAACATGGATGTACAAAGCATGCTGGGGCCAGTGCATGTAAACAGGAAATGGCCGAAAGAAACTGGATGAGAGGCAACAAAAGACCTGAAAACACTAGCAAGGGTTCCTCTGGGGTAAAAGTGTTGAGAAAAGCTGCCTTAAATGGAAATGATGTAACAAGAGTTCTTTCATTTTAAAATAAAAGTTCTAACAGTGTATATATTGTAAATCTGAGATGTGTGTTGTTGCTAGCTTCCACTCTAGATTGAGTAGCTGGAAAATTTGCAAATCTTCGATATAGATTATGCGTTTGTCGTGACAGGAAGAATTGGGGAGTTTTGTGTTGAATATTTTGCAGGATAACTGGTCTGGATTCTGATTATAGCTGTGTGGGGACTCGTTAGCTGCCATTACATCTCACAGCTGTTCAATCATCCGCCTTTTGTTCCTTACAGCCTCTCATGCTGTGTAACCCTCTGATTGCCAGACTCAGTGACGATCAACACATTTTGCTGCACTCCCGAGCTCCAGCAGAGTTGCTTACTGCCTGGTGAAATGCGACAGCTAAGGAATTTTTACACTATCACTGCCTAACATGAGACATGCTCCAACACACAGAACCAGCACATCATTTAAAGGACACCTCTAATCAGAATAATGATCACCGGCTAATTTATATTACGGTAACGTCAATTTAAAAACTCAGCAATTTTTCTTAGCCTAACACATTGTGCAGAGTAAAACAACCAGTCCCCAGTAAACAATTTATTAGGGTGCATTTCCTACATTAAAGTAAAACTATGTCCCGGTAGTCGTATCGCCCTCCACTGCCATTTATACTTACCTGAGTCCTATCTCGATCCAGAGCTGTGCCCATCTGCAGCGATTTTGGTCTGTGTTCCTCACCGGACACGGAGGCAAAAGCAGGAGCCAGTGGCTCCTGTTGCTGTCAATCAAATCCTGTGAGGGAGCGGGGCTTAACTGTGCGTGTTTATGGACACGCAACCCAGGTGAGTGAGCCCATAGGTGTGACCACTTGCTATGGGGGCACACACAGAAGAGGAGGTGCCGAGAGCGCCAGCAGGAAACCCCAGAAGAGCAGGTTTAGGGTTGTTTTGTGTAATACTATTGCAAAGAGCAGGTAAGTATACCAGTGCTGCTTCCCTGAACTTCCAGTCTTCACAGGAAAGAGTTAAAGTGATTGTAAGTGCTTAAAAAAAAATAAACAGGTTTATGCTTACCTGCTCTGTGCAATGGACAGAGCGACCCTGAACCTCCTCTTCCCGGGTTCCCCATCGATGATCCTTCCCTTTGGCAAGTGCCCCCATAAAAAGCCGCTTTATGTGGGAGCACACACTCCCAAGCCTCGCTGTCTGCATCTATAAACACAGACAGGGTAACTCGCCTCTCACCTCCCTCGTCACTGACTGAGCGACGTCAGCAGAAGAAAAGCAAGGCGAAGAATACACTACAGAGTTACTTAACCCAGGACCTAGCATTTACTATATCTGGTCTCCCACAGTACACACTACTTGGAAATGCAATTATTTTTAGTAAATATACACTACTAAATACCTTTTCTCATCAGCAGTACTTAGCAGTCTTGTGACTTCTGTCATTGTCCAGCCAAGCACTGTTTAAAAGCTTGTAGGAGTTTTCTTTCTGCTCTAGCAGGATGCAGAACCCCTGACCTCTGTCTGGACAGTCATGAATGGTCTTTGTGCTGATCACATGCATTCTCCCAAGAAACAAAAAAAAAAAAACCTCTTTAGCAATACACACCAAACTGAGCATGTGTAGAGTGACTCCACACGATATGTCTTATCAAGAAATAGGAGGGGGGTACTGGAAGAAGGGGAGGATCAGAGAAGACATGATCAAACAGACTTTTTACACAGTGCGGAGAATTAACCCATTAGGCTCCACAGTGAGTATAACAAGCATGCTTTACTGGATATACAGACTGATTTTACTGTTGTGGGTTTAGTAACACTTTAAGGTAAAAAAATGTTTGGGCTTTATAACCACTTTAACAGTGAAGTGCAGTCTGTTAGATAAGGAAGGGCGGGGGGGGGGGGGGGGTATTAACAAGTTAGTGCTTTGCCATCTTAGGCTATGGGGCAGTGTGTTTCTATTGACGTACAGAGTGTAGGGAAACACAACTCTAGTCCCTGCATGCAAAGGTGGAGGCATCTTAAAAGGGGAGCTCTGGGATTATCAAATATTGTCTATTTACAAGAAGCCTGTGTATTCGTCCT